CTGCGCCGCGCCTGCAAGCGCGGCTTCTCCGGAGGGCGCGGAGCCGCCGCCACGCGCTGCCGGTGCCGGTGCCGCGCTCTGCTGTCTGTCGCGCGCCTCCGTCGCGCGCGTCGCCGGAAGGGCCCAGCGGCTTCGGATTCGCTTGCCCCCGTTTGTGGAGCGTCCAGACGGCGCTAGGATCCCTGCGAAAGCATCTCTTTCCTGGGAAGGCAAATCGGGAGAGGCCCCCCTCAGAGACCGCTGGGGCGGCTTGGCCCAGTTCCCTGCTAGGCGCCCACCCTGTTCCCGCCAGGGGGGTCGTGGGCTCCTGCGTGCACTAAGGCAGCCTGGCACCAGGCCCAGAAGCCCCTTGCCTGGAAACGTCTGGGGCGAGCTGGCCGCCCGTCCGTCGCACCCTGTCACACTTGACTCGTGCGTGGCAGAGGCATCGGACTGATGACCGGGAAGCGGATTTCATGAGACATTCCTGGTTATGTCCCTTTGGTGAGCACGTGGAGGCGTGTGACGGCCGCTGCCTTGGCCTGCCTTGCAGTGGCTCCCAAGTCCGTCCTGCAGGCGCCCACCCCGCGGTGCTCAGCTGCAGGCCTTTGCTAGCCCGGCTTCCCGGCGGGGCTGGCCTGGCAGGGCGCTGTTTCGAGCGAGGAGGCCCCGTCGGTTTGGGAACGGGCCGTCTGAGCTTGGCAGCTTTGGTTTTGCCAGCTTTTCCAGAGACGCCTCTCAGGGAATCTTCCTCTTGGTTCTCGCAGCCCCCAAATGCTGCTTTTACTGGTTGAGGGCTGGTTCTTTGGGCTTGCCTTGGAGACCCTTCATTTGCAAGGGCCAGGCAAGGCGTTTGCACTTGGGGAAAGCTGGCCAGTTCCCTGGCGCGAGTTTTTCCGGGCTTTCAATTTCTGTTAGGGCTTATGGGAGGTGTGAAGTTTTCTGCCGCTTTCTCCCCTAGGCTCACTCGGTGATGTTTCAAAATCCTTCCTGGACTTCACCAGCCCGGCTGTAGTCAACAGCTACCTGGGGTTCAACGTCACCTCGGCCCTGTGCCTCACGGCCTCCCTGCTGCAGGCCTTCCCTGCCCAGCCTGGCTTGGTCCGGACGGTGGTCAACATCTCCTCGCTCTGCGCCCTGAAGCCATTCAAGACCTGGGCACTTTACTGCGCTGGGAAGGCGGCCCGGGACATGATGTTCCGGGTCCTGGCAGTGGAAGAGCCGGACGTCAGGGTGCTCAGCTATGCGCCAGGTGAGCGTGGTGGGGCTGGGCCTGCCCTCCCGCCACTCCGTCCGCCCACTTTATTTATTTATTTTTGATTTATATCCTGCCTTTTTCCTGCAAAGGGCTCAAGGTAGCTTACATCTCCTCCTCCATCTTATCCCCACAACAACAACCCTGTGAGGTAGGTTGGGCTGAGAGTCTGTGCCTGACCCAAAGTCACCCAGTTGCCTCCATGGCTGAGCAGGGACTAGAACCCAGGACATCTGAGTCCCAGTCCCACGCTCTTAACCACGACGCCACACTGGGCTGCTACTGGCTCTCTCTTCCTCCAGGCCCCCTGGACACTGACATGCAAGCAGTGGCCCGGACCCAGTCGGGAGACCAGGAGCTGAGGCAGGCGTTCCTTCACATGAAGCAGCACGGGCAGCTGCTGGACTGCGACGTGTCGTCCGAAAAGCTGCTGCACCTTCTCCTTGCAAACACATTTGAGTCCGGGGCGCATGTCGACTTCTATGACCTGTGAGAAAGACCGTTCTTTTCCTGGCATCCGCTTGGGGATTCTCCCTTGCAAGCACCCCCTCAACCCTGCCGTCTACTGTCAGAGGTGCAGGAACGCGCATGTTCCGGTTTCGTTGTACATGCAGCAGTGATATCCTGCCGCGTGGCCTTTGGATGTCAGGGAAACATTTGTGAGGTTCTGAGCCGGGTTATCGAAGGGGGAGGGGCCCAGAGCATCCGGAAGAGCCCTGACACCGTGGCATGTGGCGTGTCTGTTGTTGCATGTGGGAAGAATTTGGCTCAATGCCGCAAGAGGATGGTGTGGAAAGTGGAGGCTTCCGTCAGGGCCCCATAGCAGCGATCGTGGGGCAGTTTTTCTGAGCCTAGGATATTTCGCCTGCCCGTTGCAGGATGCGGACTTGGCCGTCTCCTGTTCTGCGCAGTGAGGGCGCTGCTCCCCTCCAGGGTGTCTCATGCGCATGGCACTCTCCTCCACCCGCTGCTGAAATGACTCCCTCGGCTGCCGCACCTGGGACTGGCCACGGATGCCAAAGCCGCCGGGTGAGGTCTGTGGCTGCAGAAACGGCCAAGGACGACTCGCGTCGTCAGCCCTTAAAAGTGCCACCACGGTTCCGGTTGCTTCTTTCCATTTTGCATGACTTTATTCTGACTGTTGAAACCAGAAAGGGCCATTTTGGTGGAAAGCTGAATCTGGTCTGTTTCGCACAGAAACGCCATTGGATGGGGCAGAGCAGCTGAGGTCCCACTGCTGTTTCTGTGGGGTTTCTCTGCGGGAACTTGCGCGCGTCCCGCTGCCTTCGTGGAGCCAGTGTGGCTGGCCGCTGCGCTCTGGGAAACCACGCCGGCCTGTCCGAAAGCTTGTCTCTTCGAGACGCTGCCGCAAGGTGTGTGCCGCCTCCCCGTGTGTGTTAAGTGATGGATCCCTCCCAGCCCTCACCTCTCTCTCGGTTCCCTTTAGCTCAGAAAGGTTCTGCTTCAGGGATCACAGCTGCAGGTTTGGCCTCGCAGGTCCCTGGAAGGGAATCGCATGGTGCTCCTGGAAATGGGCGAAAAAGCCCCTGGTCTGCGGGCGATGGCAGTTGCCTTTATGGCCGTCATCACAGGGTTTCGGGTTGGTTCAGTAGATCGGTAGGAGGGGCCTTCGCGGGAGAACGAGAAGCCTCTTTCCGGGTACCTTTCTCTTTTCTCGGCAGCGTCACCTGGCATTCTGCTACATTCCAGCCCAACTTGCTTCTTCTAATAAAAGCTTCGCTTGTCTTAGTGGACTCCGGGCTCCTCCTTCGTGCCTCTGCCCCATGTGAAGCACAGACTGACCTGCTTTTCCTGTCAACAAGGCCAGTGGCAGAGGCTGTGAAGGCTGCCAGATCGATCCCTGGGGCATTTCTGCAGTCTGCCTGCCTGGCTGCTGGGGGGCAGCCTATCGGTCCACCACCCTGGAGCTGTCACAGACGGGCTGCGAACTCTGCCTCTGGGTTGCGGGTTCTGGGCAAGGACCGTGGCTTCTTCGGGAACCCCCAGGGCATGGATCGCCCCTTCCTAGGTCAGAAAAGCAACGGCCTTCTCCACGCACCGCTGTGCTCTGCCTGATGGTGGGGCTGATCCTGATTAAGGCCCAGCGGCTGGAACAGCTAGCTCAGCTGACCCTCACATGCCCCATGGAGGAGAAGGGCAGCAGTGGCTACTAGTTGCGATGGTGTCATGTCACCTCCGAAGGGGTGCGAGTGCCCTGGAAGCCACACTCTGTCCCATCTCAGCTGTTCTCTGCCCACCCGGAGCTCTCTGTCCATCCCCCCCCCCCCCCCCCGGGATTGTCCTCTCCCCCGAGCAGGAACCCAAGACTGCCCAGTCGCAACGTGACAGCTGCCAGCAGCAGTCGCCGGGAGCACCTCGTTTCGTGGGGCATCTTGTGGGGGTTGTCTCCCCGCAAATCAGGGCTGCCATCAAGGTGGCCCCCGTTTCCAGGCCAGGACCTTGTGCGAGGTGCCTGGATTTTGTGACGGCTGGAACGAGCATCCCAGCCCTGCCTAAGCAGACACTGGCCACGGAGGCCCACCGGTCGCACTGGCTTGCTTGTTGAGCGTGCACCCTGGCTTCCCACGGGGGGGTGCTTGGGGTGAGTGCCCCTGCGGCTGGCGGCTGGAGCGTTGGACTGGGGATCTGGGAGCTCCAGGTTCCAGCCCCTGCTCGGCCTTGGAGCTCCCGGGGCCACCCTGGGCCAGGCACTCGCTCGCAGCCCGTTTGATGGATTGATCGATTCGATGTCTATCCCGTCCTTTTTCTTTCTGAAAGAACTCCGAGCAGCTCACAGCAGTCCCCTCCTCTCCATCGTGTCCCCACAACAGCCACCTGGCAAAGCAGGCTGGGCTGAGGGTCGGTGGCTGGCCTGAGGGCCCCCTGCACGGCTGAGCGGGGACTAGAGCCCGGCCTGCCTCCCAGCTGCCACCCCACGCCGGCTGCGTACCCACAGGGTGGTTCCGAGGAGGAAACCGAGAGTAGGAAAAGGTTCGTGTAAGCTGCCTGGAGTTCCTTTATTTTTATTTTTATTTTATTTTTTGATTTACATCCTGCCTTTTTCCTACAAAGGGCTCAAGGCAGCTTACCTCATCTCTCCTCCTCCATCTTATCCCCACAACAACAACCCTGTGAGGTAGGTTGGGCTGAGAGGCTGTGACTGGCCCAAGGTCACCCAGTCGGCTCCATGGCTAAGTGGGGACTAGAACCCAGATCGTCTGAGTCCCAGTCCCATGCTCTTAACCACTACACTACACTGGCTTGGCAGTATAAAAATGAATTATTAGTATTTGTATTATTATTATTAATAATAATTCAGTTAAACACAATCAAAGCAGGAAAGCAGATTGGAAAAACATCAACCCAGTCCATAAAACCAACACGGCTGCCTGCCAATTGGCCAAATGCCCACATTTGCAGTGGGGCAACAGCCGGCTGCTGAGAGCAAGGACCCTCTGTGCAGGGCAGCCAGGGAATCTGCCATCTTGCCTGGCAGTGGGGCACCCCAATGGAGCGGGCTGGTCACCCCGTTAGCGGAACTCAGAACAGCAACTTCCTCAAAAAAAGGGTACTGCTTAAAGGGAAGCTGAAAGGGTCATGAGGACGTGATCAGACTGTTATTGGGCAATAACCTTGAAGAACTAGGAGAGTGCAGAAAATTGAATGAAAAGTTTTTATCTGTCTGTATTTTGTGACACATGCCCAAACTGACCGTTCCAGCAGATGAAGATCACGAAGATCAGAGGCAAATACTGGTGGCCAGAAACGACATTTCATGCCTTCTTGAGATATTTAACATTTACAGACTGACAGCAGGTATGGGTGGAATCCATCTGTGAACCAAGGCAGAGAAGCTGGCAGCTTGCTCTTAAATGGAAGCCGGCTGGAAGGGCCCCGTGGAGCACCCTCTGTGGGGGCGAGCTCTACGGCAGGGCCGGGCTGCTTGTGGTCCCCCAGGTGTTCCGGCTGAGAGCTCCGCTCGTTCTTCAGCCCCTCTGGCTGCCCACCCATGTGCTGCCGGAAGGGCCGGGATGTGTGTCCCGGAGCATTTTTTCTCCAGTGGCGCATTGGACAATCCGGAACCTCTCACTGTGGGGGCTGTGGTACGAGGCCCCCAAGTCGCTACCAACCCTTGGCAGAGGTGCAGAGCGCTCTGGAGGGGGAGGCATCCAGGCACGGGAGGGCTGTGGAAATGTCCTCACCCAGACCGCGTAAACACGTGCTCTGGCCACGGTAAGGGGGTAGATGTCGCAGGTGCTGCCGCTGGCCGTGGAACTGACCACGGGGGTTAGGAAGCAAAGCATCCACCTGCGGGCTGGCGAGCAGCCGGGTGCCTTGGTGTGATCCCCTAAGCCCGAGCGGGCCCAAGGCCGGGTGCCTGAACAGCTGTGGTGGCCCCGGGAATGCCTTGTTGGGCGGCTTCGGGATGCTCCTGCCTCTGCCTCGTTGGTCAGGCACTCAAAGAGGGCTGGCCATTGGATGGCTCATTGGGAACAGGGTCCGGGAGGTCAGGAAGAGGCCCGCCAGGGACTGGATGGCGGGGGCAGGGCTTATGCGTCGCTTGCTGGAGAGAGGGAGCGCCTGGTGTCCTGGGCGGGCGGCTGGGCAGTGCGGTGGCGCTGGGCCCCTGGGCAGGCAGCAGAGCCGGCCCTGGCTAGAGGCAGCTTCAGCCGGGGACAGGTGGCAGAGGCAACGGGGGCCGAGGCGGGGGGGGGGGGGCACGCTGCATCCAGCCATCCCTGGCTGCGAGGCACTGGCTGGGATGGCGTCGGGGGAACTGACTTTGGGGGAAACCTTTTGAGAGCTGATCTGCAAGGAAATCTGCCACAGGTACTTGGCCAAAGCACCTGTAAGCCACCCCCTCCCTGTGCAGCGTCGTCGGCTGCCCTTGGTTCCAGCAATGGTGTCAGTCCCTGTCCACAGCTTATTACCAGGCAGCTGAGGCTTCCAAGGCAACATGGGGGTGGCACCCCACCCATGGGGCAGGGTGGCAGCAAATGCCCGCGGAGGGCGTTCTATTCCGGACCAGGGAGGAATGTCAGGATTGCTGAACTGAATGGGACAGGGATCGCAGTGCGATCGACTTCCATGTGAGTGACGGCTTCTCAGCCATGTCCACTGCGTCTGACTTAAGAGGGATACTCCTGAACACGGGATACTGGTAGAAAGGAACCCACAGAGTTGTCCTGAAAACAGGAATCAAGAAGATAAAACCTCTCCAAACTGCTTGGGGTTGCTCAAGACCAGAACAATTTATTCTCTGCGACGCCGCAGAGCACAGATGGGGAAAGGTGGGACAAAGTCCACGGGGTCACCAGCAGAGTCGTCATGCAATGTCAACAAAGAGTTTACCGAAAAGGCGGCTTCCCTCAGAAGGCGGAGGTCTTGCCCAAATGACAGAAAGAGGAACACCAGGAAATGCAAGCCGTGAGAGGGAGGGGGTTGGGAAGGGGGTCAGACTGTTGGATGACAAGGAGTTACCCAAATACCAAAGGGGGATGGAAGAGGGTGGAGATGGATGGCTGCTTTGCATCTGCCTTCACCCTAGAAGGGGCTGGGCAAATGCTCTTGGCCGAACAGACATTTTCAGGGAGGGAGCCTGCAGAACAGGCAATGCGGCACCAAACGGCCACCAGCAGGGATCTCCTCTGGAGCAGGGGCTGAATCCCAGCAGATTGGCATGCAGGGCGAGTGGCCAGGGACAGCCTGGGGGAGGGCTGGACGGGGCGCTCGCCAGTTTCAAGCCTGGTCAGGGAAACCCGGGAAAAGCCGCTGCTTGCTGTTCTCGGGCACTGGGAGCGTCACTGTGGCCTGAAGAGGGAGGGTGGCAGAGCGCCAGAAGGAAGCTGGGCAGAATCACTCTGCAGCACTCCCAAACATCACCCCGCATCTTAAGCCTCTGCATGTCTACTCAGAGGCAAGTAGGACTTGCCACTCAACCACTTCTGCCCCAGAGCTTGCTCGGCCTCACTGGCGGCCAAGCGCTCTCATCCCCAGTCAGCTGCTGATCGATGGGGCAAGCACTTTCGGGGCAAGCTTCCCAGTGGTTTGGGCGAACTGGAATGGAGGAAATGGCATGGAGAGGGTGATGAGCTGAGCCCATTGTGAGCTGAGAATGTCAAGAGGAACAAAAAGGGCTTCTATTCTTATGCAAATAGTAAGAGGAAGGGGAGACAGGAGGTGGGGCTGCTTAAAAGAGAGGGAGGGGATCTGGCAACTGCTGGAACAGGCACAGATGTTACCAGATGATTACTCTGCTTCTGTATTCTCCCCAAAGCAGGGTGGGGGAAATGTGCCTGGGGGGCCGGATGAGGCTGGGGTTATGGGGGCACAGATGAAAGTCACCCCCCTAGAAGTACAGGAGCTCCTTAGGGCCCTGGACATTATGAAGGCACTGGGTCCTGATGGGCTACACCTGAGGGTACTTCATGAATTGGCAGGGGTACTCTCATACCCATGGGTCTCAATTTCTGAGGCCTCATGGAAAATGGGAGAAGTCCCAGAGGATTGGAGGGTGGCATCAGTGGTCCCATTCTTCAAAAAGGGTAGCAGAGGGGACAAGGGGAATTACCGGGCAGGCAGCCTTACATCAGTTTTGGGAAAGATGATGGAAAGGCTGATAATGGGGAAAGCTCTAGAAGGGAGGCTGGCAGCCACGCAACACAGCTCCAGCAAAAACAGGTCCTGCCAGACGAACCTGGTGGTTCTATGACAGGGTTTCGAGGTGGCTGGACGGAGGGGATGCAGTGGATGT